CGTCCTGAGGCCCACCACTCAGAACGTCTGTCTTTGGGTCCTCAAAATCAGGTAGGTACTCCTGCAGTCTCTTTATTATTATGCTGGTACTTCAAGTCCCACTCAACGCCTGAGAAGCTCCTCTATGCAGCTTCACACACAAAAAAAAACGTATAGGTCCACTACACTCGAAGTTTCACTCTACCACTAGAGTTCTGCTCCACCACTGGAGTTCAACTCCACACCTGAAGTTCCACCATATAACCTTCACCAGACACGAAGCTCCGCCACGACCTTCTTCCCCACACAAACCACTTGCCCACTGGAGCTTCAAAATAGCTCAACTCTTGGTCGTCTACGAAAATCCTCTTAGACTGTCTATTAATGCTTCTCACAGTCCCGACTTTACACAGTCACAGTCCCGTCGAACACTTTATGTAGGACATACGTAAATCTGTGTATCTATGTATTTACGTATGTAGGTTAGCTTAGCATTTTAAGAGCACCGAATCACCCTTCTGTGGTTGATTGTTTAATAAACCCTTGAACTATATGTTTAACCCTTCTCTAACCCTGTCCATGGAGGACAGAAGAAAATGAATATATGCTGGTTAGCATTGTAAATGTGTGGCCACGTCAGTGGTAGAAAAAAATAAAGTCCCGACTTGTGTACACGAAGTCACTGACAGGTTTCAGACTGAAACACCTGTTCAATTTCCACCACTCAAAGGGTCCACACAGGACACGACCACCCTGTAGGCTTCAGGCCGCCTATAATATCGTTCAGGATCACATAGAAACGTCGTACGTCGTCCTCGGCAGCTTCCTCACATGTCGTACACGTAGCCTTCACTCAGACACTAAACCCAGAACTATATTCTTCTTTCTTCCCAGGAGGCACATGAGTACGTCTGTCCCTGACCACTCTAGCAACTCAAGTGACGCGTCACGACCTCCACCCACGTCACGTCATGTAACAAAATGTCGACATCTTATTTCAACTAACTTCTATAAGATGCTTGTCCTCTGTTCGACTCTATTAACTCATAATTTACTGACGTTTGCTTAACTTCCTTCCCCTGACTCCTACCTCTAGTCAGGTGGGTAGATAACTCTCACAAGGTAGATCCACCTCACTAGGCTACCTGGGGGTTCATGAATAAATTCACAAGGGCTGTGACGAAGATTCGAAACTACGTCCGAGATCATCCCAGACGCTGCCTTAATCGACTGAGCTGCGACATAGTCAAAAGAGTTGAAACCAGAAGTTCTACTGAACTTACTTGGATCCTGCAGCCTCTCCGAGACACAAACCAGGGTTTTACACAACTCCCCCATGCACTCGAGCTATGTCAATAGGCCGTTCTCTCTCTTCGCCCTTATTTCATTACACACAGAAATCACAATAGCGTGATCCATCAATAAACAAATCCACAAGGGCCGTGACGAGGATTCGAACCTGCGTCAGAGACCATACCAGACGCTGCCTTAAATTCTGGGGTTTCATAACAGTTTACCCACAGTTACAGTGTTGGGGCCGCACCCTGGGTGTACCCTGGTGAGTATACCCACAGTTACAGTGATGGGGCCGCTCCCTGGGTGTAACCTGGAGAGTATACCCACAGTTACAGTGTTGGGGCCGCTCCCTGGGTGTAACCTGGTGAGTATACCCACAGTTACAGTGTTGGGGCCGCTCCCTGGGTGTAACCTGGTGAGAATACCCACAGTTACAGTGATGGGGCCGCTCCCTGGGTGTACCCTGGTGAGTATACCCACAGTTACAGTGATGGGGCCGCTCCCTGGGTGTAACCTGCTGAGTATACCCACAGTTACAGTGTTGGGCCCGCTTCCTGGGTGTAACCTGGTGAGTATACCCACAGTTACAGTGATGGGGCCGCTCCCTGGGTGTAACCTGGTGAGTATACCCACAGTTACAGTGTTGGGGCCGCTCCCTGGGTGTAACCTGGTGAGTATACCCACAGTTACAGTGATAGGGCCGCTCCCTGGGTGTAACCTGGTGAGTATACCCACAGTTACAGTGATGGGGCCGCTCCCTGGGTGTAACCTGGTGAGTATAACCACAGTAACAGTGATGGGGCCGCTCCCTGGGTGTAACCTGGTGAGTATACCCACAGTTACAGTGATGGGGCCGCTCCCTGGGTGTAACCTGGTGAGTATACCCACAGTTACAGTGCTGGGGCCGCTCCCTGGGTGTAACCTGGTGAGTATAACCACAGTTACAGTGCTGGGGCCGCTCCCTGGGTGTAACCTGGTGAGTATAACCACAGTTACAGTGCTGGGGCCGCTCCCTGGGTGTAACCTGGTGAGTATACCCACAGTTACAGTGTTGGGGCCGCTCTCTGGGTGTAACCTGGTGAGTATACCCCACAGTTACAGTGTTGGGGCCGCTCCCTGGGTGTAACCTGGAGAGTATACCCACAGTTACAGTGTTGGGGCCGCTCCCTGGGTGTAACCTGGAGAGTATACCCACAGTTACAGTGTTGGGGCCGCTCCCTGGGTGTAACCTGGTGAGTATACCTACAGTTACAGTGATGGGGCCGCTCCCTGGGTGTACCGTACACAGTGTGATTCACAGTAATGTATTCACATTATTTATACACATTGCTATAAATAATATACACGAGAAAGTTTTGTTGCACAGGTTTGTTCATCGATATTATATGTTCAGAAATGAGCTTCAGCGGTTCAGAAAGTGTTTAGCTGTATAAAGCAAGTGTTTGATCAACTGTGAGATGAGGTGTTCCTGTGTCACGCGACATATGCCTGACGCAAGAGAACCATTGTGGTCACGATGGGCGAGTCAATCTTGCGTCACGTGACGCAAACCTTCACCACATTACTTTATAAAGCATTCCGTTTGTTAACTACTTTGACGCTGAACAATTCTTTGTGGCTCATCTGGGTACTGTGAACCTTTGTACGTGTACTGCATCTGCTAAATAGACTGTTCATATCTGCCCTGTCTATTCCCCTGAGGAACTTCTATGTTGTAATCATGTCTCCCCACTTTCTTGTGTCTTCCAATCACTTAAGGTTCAACACCTGTGGTCTTTCCTCGTATCTCATTCCTTTTAGCGCTGGGACTAGTCTGGTCGTATACCTGTGAACTTTATCCAACTTTGTTTTGTGTTTAATGATATATGGACTCCACGCTGGGGCCGCATATACCAGAATTGGTCTGATATAAACGATATATAAGATGCTGTTGGACTCCTTGTTAACATTCCTTAAAGCAGTTCATATATTAACAAACATCAATATGTATAATGCGGGCTTCTAATGACAGGTTGAGGACTGTATTTTATTGTATTCTATTTTTTTGTATTTATTCCATTGTATTTATCCTCCCCATAAGTTCTGCGTCGTTAACAAACATTGAAAAGTAGGACTCTGTCCCTTCTGATTGGTCTTTGACAAAGATCAGGAACAGGATCGGTTCAGGAACTAACCCTTGTGGAACACTAGTGCTTCCTGCCACTCTGAGGTCTCTCCTCTTACTCTCACCCTTTGTTTCCCGCTCTAAAGGTACTCTTTTATCCACTAGAGAAACTTCTCTGTCACTCCTCCCTGTTTCACTTGGGGTGAAATCCTTATCCCGACCCCTTCCAAGTGCTATATAGTCGTAATAATTTAGCGCGTTCTCCCTGATAATATCCTTTCCCTTCCCTCCTGCCCCCCCCCCCTATTTCGTGCAGCGGTCTCCTGTGGTGGACTGTGTCAAGGCCTTCTGACAGTCATGGAATATACGCAACAACCACCCTTCTCTGTCTTGTCTGACCTCAGTTGACCATTCATAGAACTGTGTTAAGTTTTCTGAGGCAGGATGTTCCAACCCTGAAGCCATGATGGTGTTGTGTTATAAGGTCTCTTCTCTCCTCGTGTTCTACCTGCCTGTTCCTTCTGCTCTGCTCCATAACCTTCCATGATATGTAATTAAGGGACAATGGCCTGTCCCTTAACAGACAATGGTTTAATGTCTCCTGTTTGTATCCCTTGTTTGGTGTATTGGCAAAACGGTGCCTCTTCCAACTGTCTGGCAGTTCTCCTATTGCCAGTCACCTGTTATATATTATAGTAAGCGACCAGTGAAGCGACTATTATATATTATAGTAAGCGACCAGCAAAATGCATCTGCTCCTTTTATATGTATCCAAGGTGAGATATTTTCTGGTCCCGCAGCCTTAATCAGGTCAAGCTCCATCTGGTGATATTTTTTTTACTTCATCTTTAGTTATCTCAAAGTCCTCGAGTGTTGCTTGGTTGGAATCCATCCCCCATAGCTGAGGAACATCTCCTTGCTCTATTCTAATGCCCTTCTGGAACCTCCAGTCGAGCACTTCACACACTTCTCTATCATTCTTAGTAAATCAGTCCTGTCCTATCCTCAGTTACATCACTTATTCCTTAACTGTTGTTCTCCTGGTGGTGCGGCTCTGAAGCAACAGGGCTGCGTCTTGGCTCTGAAGCAACAGGGCTGCGTCTTGGCTCTGAAGCAACAGGGCTGCGTCTTGGCTCTGAAGCAACAGGGCTGCGTCTTGGCTTTGGCAGCAATATAATTTTCAAACTGGTTTTATATTTCCCTCTTCCTCTGAGGCACTAATTCCTGTCTCTCAGGTGCTCCTCTCTTCTCTCTGCTATTATTGTGTTCCTGGAGTTACCGTGTGTGTGCTTATGCGCCATGCTTCCCTACATCCGTGTGTAAACCATGGACTTGCCCCTGTCCATCAGTGGTTCCCCTGGAGAATGACAAATCTATCAGCTGCATTCCCACCATTTCTTCTTCACGAAGTCCAAAATTCCCTCGGGCAACATTTCCCTGAGATCTATTTACCATTGTATCTTTGACAGGTGGTGTCTCATCTTCTCGTACTTTCCACTTCGATATGCCAACCGTTTACCTCCTGGTCTATATCCTAAGTAATACACATACTTTTACAAGGTACTCAAATACCAGTACACAGTGATCGTTCAATCCTTAATTAAAGGGGTTGGAAATTTACCTCACTTTCAGTATGAAAGTTGACTTCACTTTCAGTATGAAAGTTGACTTCACTTGTGAATATTAGATCAAGTTCGGCAGGTTCATCACTGCCTCTTATGCTTGTGGGTCCACTGACGTATAAAGTTTGTGGCTTATAAAGTTTCTCATGACCGCATCCATGAAGTTACCTTTCCACGTGTCTATTCCAGCATGGCGTTGCCTATTCTCCCGTCAGCTTGCTCATGAAGAACTCTCCCAACATCCTGTGATACGCAACTCAAGTCGGCTCCCCACATTTGAATACATAAGCAGCTTGAAAACCAATCTCTCGACGCAGCTGTCGATACACAAATAAAGATTTATTAAAGATCATATAATATTTTAGACACACCCAGACCATCACCAGAAATATCCTGAAGCATTGCAATAAACAATTACCAGAAGACGTTACTGACACTCTTACTGCAAGAGCAGGAAGCCCATCAACTTGACCATAGAGAACTCTCCCAGCAACACAGCGAACCGCTTTCAGAGAGTCGAATATCGTTGTCATGAGACCCTCCATATAATGTTATGGGGGAGTGCTCCTTCAGTATCGCTGGAAAACAGAGCCTGGCCAATAATCAATAAAGGTCTAGGGGAGTTAAAGGCTAGTAAAAAATATTCCAGTTTACTGGGCATATAACATAAGTCATCATAACACCATAAGAAAAATATAATCTCTAAAACTCACATTCTATTACTTTATCCAGCTTCTTAAACCTTTACATGTTCATCAATAGGCCTGATGAAGAGTGTATGCAGGGTGCACCCTGCATACACCCAGCACTAGCTGACATCAGACTGTATCCTGGCACAGTGGCACACTAGTGCCCACTGTGCCTCCTGGCACAGTGGGCACTAGTGCCTAATATGCTGATAATACCAACACAGGATGGTGGTGTCACAATCATTAACAAATGAGGTTGAGGAATCAATATCATTCGCAGCACAATGGCATCACTCAGGTACCCACCTCAATACTACATATAAAAGCACCTACCACCTGGTATACATGATATACAACGATAAAAATGATCCATGGTATACCCTACTGCATATTATTAATTATCCCAGCAGTCAATTAACAGAAATAAGGCCACTAAACCTGGACCAGAGCGACACAATGTATACCTTCTACCTCATTATACCAGTAGCATGTTCCATACAGCAATATGTAGCATTCCACAATATAATCACATATTGATGTTTCTACAAGTTACCTGACATTAGGCTACTGATATTCACTATACTTACAATATATATCCACAAATACATGGCAAATACGTATGGTACAGAAATATAATATACATATGTATATAAGACATACATTGGCAATACATAATTTCAACTAGTATATTGTCGAACAACTGATAAATAATATAATATTCGTGGTACTAGGCTAATCAGCCTAGTACCACGAATCACTATACAGTTTGAATACATCACACACCAGCCACAGTATGATCATACTGGTGTATGTGTGTGGTCATAACAGTCGTCTCTACCTTCTCTCAGGGGCTGCCAACCCCAAACAATCTCAATATACAGGCAAGACAACATCAGGTTGCAGCACTAACTGTTAATTTACACTTGTATACATTACTGTGAAATTTCCTATGTATAACTTGAAAAAGAAATGAGTTGCAACATGTATTGTGGTAGGCAGTGAGAGACACTGCACAACACATCACTGTAATATGTACTGAGGGAGTCTGAAATGTTGTTTATAAAACACATCACTGTTTTCTGTATCTAATCTTTCCTTAAGACTATTCCATCAAACTATATATTTCTCAACGTAGCAATAACTACAAGTCAGAAGATATTGCAGCCTCGTCAGAGGATGCAGGTGCGTATCACCACAACATAATGGATCACGAGAAACCAGAGCTTATAAAGGACATTTCAAACACCAACCAAATATTATTTGTGTTATATTTTTTGTGTTATTTTTTTGTGTTATTTTTTTGTGTTATATTTGTGTAATAATTTTATATTTGTGTTATAACTATAACATATAAATGTAACATAAACCACGAGGAAGAAAACGTGCAGTTCGCATCACAGGTGATTTACAATTGTTTATTTGACAGTGAAAAGTTTGATATTTATTTGGTGAGGAGAGTGGAGGTGAAGCCCGGGATCACCAGGCCATTACAGCTGCCGGTGACACAGCTGCAACAAGTGTACACACAGCTGGCAATGATTCAGACAGATCTCCGCCTGAACACAAGGGTGCGAGGTGCATGGTAGACACATGCAGTTGACGCCCTTGTCTCCACAACACCGGCTGTAGCACTGTAATGATCATGATTCTATATTGTGTAATAACAATCACTCGTCTTCTCGGGGACAGTAAGCCTGCGTGTTTATATATTCTTCAGGATTGTATCATGGTCCCCATCCCCCAAAGTCGAACTATTGACCCTTCCCAGGACACAACCCAACGACAGTTATCTAACCCACTAGTACCTATTTACTGGTAGGATAACTGAGGCATTAGGTGAAAGGAAACGTGCCCAACCATTTCTGTCCCGCCCGGAAATCGAACACGGGACACCCGAGTGTGTGTCGAGAACGAATCCACCAGTACTGAGAGACCCTGAGGCCAGTCGAGAATATAACAAAAATGACTATTTTAAGAAGTAAATTTTTCATTGTTTATCACTTAAACATGAAGGTTTACATATTGGAACTATTTTATATTGCTGGGTTATGGAACTTTTACATCAAACACTAATGTTCCCTTAATGTTCCCTTTGTAAGGGAATAACACTAATGTAATTCCCTTACAAAGAATTTAATCTGAACAATCACAAAATGAAAGAAGAAAAACATTGTTTACAAACAGTGAGGCGACGTGTGGTTGTCCAACACTCCCGACACTACTCTCACACTCCTCGTCAACTCTCACACTCCTCGTCAACTCTCACACTCCTCGTCAACTCTCACACTCCTCGTCAACTCTCACACTCCTCGTCAACTCTCACACTCCTCGTCAACTCTCACACTCCTCGTCAACTCTCACACTCCTCGTCAACTCTCACACTCCTCGTCAACTCTCACACTCCTCGTCAACTCTCACACTCCTCGTCGCCAGCAGCACACTGCACGAGACATTAAACACAACACATTGTGACTATTGTTAATTTTCTTATAAATATTTTCTATTCTACGGAAATATCTTCTTCCACCTGGATGGTTCAGACTCACTACATCACTTAATAGTGATCTGACAGTGAAAGATACGACAGTAGGCTTAAGAGTACCTCTAGAGCGGGAAACAAAGGGTGAGAGTAAGAGGAGAGACCTCAGAGTGGCTGGAAGCACTAGTGTTCCACAAGGGTTAGTTCCTGAACCGATCCTGTTCCTGATCTTTGTCAAAGACCAATCAGAAGGGACAGAGTCCTACTTTTCAATGTTAACGACTCAGAACTTATGGTGAGGAAATCGGAATAAACACAATGGAAGAAATACAATTGAATAAATACAATGGAAGAAACACAATTGAATAAATACAATTGAATAAATACAATGGAATAAATACAATCGAATAAATACAAAGAAATAGAATACAATAAAATACAGTCCTCAACACATCATTAAAAGTCCGCATTATACATACTGATGTTTGTTAATATATGAACTGCTTTAAGGAATGTTAACAAGGAGTCCAACAGCATCTTATATAACGTTTATATCAGACCAATTCTGATATATGCGGCCCCAGCGTGGAGTCAATATACCATTAAACACAAAAGGAAGTTGGATAAAGTTCTCAGGTATACGACCAGACTAGTCCCAGCGCTAAAAGGTATGACATACGAGGAACGACTACAGGTGTTGAACTTTACGCCATTGAAAGACACAAGAAAGTGGGGAGACATGATTAAAACATAGAAGCTCCTCAGAGGAATAGACAGGGCAGATATGAACAGTCAATTTAGCAGATGTAGTACACGTACAAAGGTTCACAGTACCCAGATGAGCCACAAAGAATTGTTCAGCGTCAAAGTAGTTAACAAACGGAATGCTTTATGAAGTAATGTGGTGAAGGTTTGCGTCACGTGACGCAAGAACAACTCATCTCACAGTTGATCATACAGTGTGTGCATAATGTGAATACATTACTGTGAATCACACTGTGTACGTTACACCCCGGGAGCGGCCCCATCACTGTAACTGTCAGTATACTCACCAGGAAGTAGCACGCTCAACACACTAGGAAGTAACACACTCAACACACCAGGAAGTAGCACACTCAACACACTAGGAAGTAGCACACTCAACACACTAGGAAGTAACACACTCAACACACCAGGAAGTAGCACGCTCAACACACTAGGAAGTAACACACTCAACACACCAGGAAGTAGCACGCTCAACACACTAGGAAGTAACACACTCAACACACCAGGAAGTAGCACGCTCAACACACTAGGAAGTAACACACTCAACACACCAGGAAGTAGCACGCTCAACACACTAGGAAGTAACACACTCAACACACCAGGAAGTAGCACACTCAACACACCAGGAAGTAGCACGCTCAACACACTAGGAAGTAACACACTCAACACACCAGGAAGTAGCACGCTCAACACACTAGGAAGTAACACACTCAACACACCAGGAAGTAGCACACTCAACACACCAGGAAGTAACACGCTCAACACACTAGGAAGTAACACACTCAACACACCAGGAAGTAGCACGCTCAACACACTAGGAAGTAACACACTCAACACACCAGGAAGTAGCACACTCAACACACCAGGAAGTAGCACGCTCAACACACTAGGAAGTAACACACTCAACACACCATGAAGTAACACACTCAACACACCAGGAAGTAGCACGCTCAACACACTAGGAAGTAACACACTCAACACACTAGGAAGTAACACACTCAACACACCAGGAAGTAGCACACTCAACACACTAGGAAGTAGCACACTCAACACACCAGGAAGTAGCACGCTCAACACACCAGGAAGTAGCACGCTCAACACACTAGGAAGTAACACACTCAACACACCAGGAAGTAGCACGCTCAACACACCAGGAAGTAGCACACTCAACACACCAGGAAGTAGCACACTCAACACACCAGGAAGTAGCACACTCAACACACCAGGAAGTATCACACTCAACACTCCAGGAAGTAGCACACTCAACACACCAGGAAGTATCACACTCAACACTCCAGGAAGTAGCACACTCAACACACCAGGAAGTAGCACACTCAACACTCCAGGAAGTATCACACTCAACACTCCAGGAAGTAGCACACTCAACACACCAGGAAGTATCACACTCAACACTCCAGGAAGTATCACACTCAACACACCAGGAAGTATCACACTCAACAAACCAGGAAGTATCACACTCAACACTCCAGGAAGTAGCACACTCAACACACCAGGAAGTAGCACACTCAACACACCAGGAAG